TGCCCTTCGCTCTTCCCCAGTAGTGTATTGGACACCTTCTGACCTGAGGGGCTCATCTTCCGACATCATATCTTTTAGCCTTTTGACATTATCCGTGGGGTTTTCTTGGCAAGGATCCTGGAATGGGTTGCCATTTCCTTCTCCAGTGGACCACATTTTGTCAGAACTCTCTGTCATGACCTGTCCGTCTTGGGTGGCCCTGCATGGCATAACTCATGGCTTCACTGAGTTACGCAAGCCCCTTTGCCACGACAAGACAGTGATCCATGAAGGGGAGCTAAGCCTAATAGCCCTGTTTAAGGTGGAAATTGGAGCCATTTAATTGAAAACTTTATTCCTGGTGAAGAGGATGTCAGATTCCCAGGCTAGAATTCAGCTGGCTGGCACACACTGAATTTGACACAAGCTTTCCATACACTTAACATGTCACGGCTAGATAATATCTTTTTCCATACAAGGATGAAACCACTTTAAGCAGTTGATCACCCTCTGTCAACATGAAGTGCAAACTTTTTAATATATCTACAGCAGTTAATTAGAACAGTTCTTTTTTCCGTCTTTCTCACAATTTAATAAATAATTTGCTTTCTGCTTTTTAGCCTCGGAGCTAGATTACTGTTGCTTGTTGACATGACTGACATTTCTGTCTTGAGAAACTCTAGCTCCTAACTTAATTCCCACACCATCCTCTTCTCCATCCCATTCCCTTCTGTGTGTCTAGACCAGTGTTGTCCAAACTTGGCCACTTTAAGATGAGTGTACTTCAACTCCCAGAATTCCCCAGCCAAGTCCACTCATCTTAAAGTGGCCAAGTTTGGACAACACTGGTCTAGAATGACCAGGAATCACTCCTTTTACCTCTTGATTCAGATTGACAGGAAGGGAAGGTGTTTCTTCCCTTCCTCCATCTCCATCTCCATGGTGATTGTCCCCTCCTTCTTGAGATCAGAATGGCTGACATTTCCCCTCCTCCTTCAGTCTCCATGACTGAATGCTATTTTTCAATTGGAGCTAACAATTTGCTCACAGTTTCAGTACTGTCTATTATCAAGAGATAACAGAGATGTCTGTCATCCATCCTGACTTACATGCAAGTTTCCTGCTTCTTTTAAGTATAGATTTAGTCAATGTTTAATTCCAAAAGTTTCATTGGGTGCAAAAGGAGTTGGGGGGAGCTCCAAAGATTGTAGCCCACATCCTAAGTTAGCATCTGAAATTCTAGCATATTTCCATACTGAACATCTTGCCACAAACAATGTATTTTATGCTTGTTAAATGTCAGCTTCCTGACAGGATCCTCAGAATTAGCTCTCAGGCATGCCATGACATTAATGTACTGTAGCTGTCCTCAGATGTGGGGTTGCTCACTTTGTAGTTTCTTTAGTCATTCGGTTTATCAAGAATCCTACATAGGTTTGATCAATGGGCAAATCCTCTAATACCTGGAAATTATACAGCTGACTCTGAGCAAGGAAAGCAAGAGATCTGCTTTGATTACTATTATGTTTGGCAAAAAAGCAGACTCTTTGCACCGAATCGCTCTGGTAATAGCAGCTCATGCAGTTGCTGGAAGGTCAGCTGGACTCCCCCTGGGAGAGGACACATTGGTTGGCGTCCTGGTTGATCCTGCCCTGCCCCTGGACTAGCTGGGGTAGCCATCAGGTTCCGATATTGGAACAAGACATTGGCCAACTAATTAATGGTCAGTGGAGTTTGTGTGAGTGAGGTCAGTGGCCACATTTTAAATGTTGACTTGCATGCAATGGCTTTCTTCTCATTGAGGAGGGAATAGATGTGAGGGCATTCAAGGTGTCAGGCTCCCTGAACTGAACTCAGCAGAAGCTTCCCAGGCCCACAGTATGGCACTGGTAGGCAAGTATTTTTACTACATACTAGCAGGAATTTATTTTACTTGATGATTGCTGTCTGTCAGTTTGAAGCTGAGACCTTTCTTATACCTGTGGTGGTGAATTCTAGTATTTTTTTTTCCCCCTGCCTTTCCCAGTTTAATGGATATTTCACATTAGGCTTTTCAGCCTTGGAGCTAGAAGAGTGTTGGTGGTTGACATAATTTACATTTCTGTTGTGAGAAACTGTCGCTCCCAATGTAACTCCCAGGAAGGGGGGACTCTCTTGTTCTGCCCCAATCAGATTCCAGGTGGGGGGGCTTTCCATTTATTGAGAGTATAACTACTGTAGCTGCCTGGGTAGAACAGTTTTACCTGGAGAATAGCCATAGCCAGAAACCTTAGAACTCACTCCCTCCCACCCTGAAGTATAGGTCTGATCAACTCCACAAAAATGAAGACTTGTTTTTGTTACTAAATTTAAAGGGGAGAAGTGATCAATGGAGGATTTGGTCTTGTCCTGGATGGTTCAGCAGGTGCTGAAGAGCGTGCAAAGATGATGCTGAACTGGGATGTTTCTAATGGGGTATGTAAATGAATCTTATCTTTCAATTTGAAAGTGTTATACACATAGTAAATTGCAAGGATATTTGGGTAAATTCCTTTGCTGTCTGTATTCTAATGATATATATTACAGATTTGATGGGATCTTCAGGACTTGCCTTCTGTCTGTATTGGATGGTTACAGAATGAGGAATAAGCCTTTCAGGGCAAAATCCATATCACCTTCCTTTTTACCCAAAAGGAAGATGACATAGAATTTAACATGATTCCAGCCACCCTCTCCCCCAGAAAGATACATAGAAAAAAATTATACACAAATCCTGTGCAATGTTCAACTTCCCCACCTTGGCCTCTTAGGGAGTTTCCTAATTTATTTCCAGGTAAACCATATATTTAATTGCAAATGATATCATATTTGTATTATACAAGCTCATGGCATCTTAAAATCTTGCTTATTCCATTTACTGAAAGCAGTCTCCTTCAACCTAATTTATAACTACCAAATTGCTTTCAGTGCCTCTCTGAACTAGCAATGCTGAGAATGTTATTCAAAGGCCACAAATACCATGCTCTCTCACAGATCATGCATTTACAGCCTGTGCTACCTGAACAGCTTGTGTAGTCATCACATTTCATAACTGCAAGAATAGATAAAACAGTGAAGCATATTGTTGCTGTGATTTTTCCAGTTGTTGTTACATTAACCATCAAAATGACACCACTTAGTATCATCTTATCTTGATATCCTATCAATTATGAGATTTCTGGAGTCAACATCCTATCAAGTCAACATCCTATGCTCCCATTCTCCATTATAGTGGCCTTGATTTGAGCTCCAAATAGCCTCCAGAAAACAACAGTGGGGTGTGCTAATGCACTGGGCAGTTAATTGATAGCAGCAGCAGCTTGCTATTTTAAAGAAGAATTTCCAGCTGAATCAATCAAGAGCTGCCTTTGCACAGTTAATGTAATGGCTGACAGTTAATGAGAGCATTTGAGAAGAAACAGACTTGTCTCCTTGCCACTAGTGTCTCATTGGTTGCAACCTAAGACACAAATGGATCGGGTTTGTTGCCTGCCGTTCATCTGTTTCTGTAGTGTCAACTGGCTGACAAGCTGGCTAGTTATTACTATTATCAGATTTATATCCCTCCTTTATTTTGTACAACCCTAAGTGAGGTACCTATTGTTCCTGCCTTCTATTTTCCCTCAACAGTAACCCTATGAGATGGGTTGGACTGAGAGAAAGTGACTAGCTAAGTCACCCAGTGGGTTTTCATACCTAAGGGAGGACTAGAACTCACAGTCTCCTCATTTGAAGTCCAGCACCAAACTGGTTCTCTTGGTAGTTATAAACATATCTGGTTAGACCTAGATGAGGAAGTATAGGTAGCTGCTATAGCCACAGCTGCTAAACAGGATGGGCAGTAGGGATCAGGCTGGAGAATGCTGCACTCTGAACATACTTGTCCAAGGCCCTCTCAAACCTAACAGTACCTTTCAACTCAATTCAGGGTTTGAACACCTCTAGAATGAGTCTACTAGGCAGAGAGAGCTTTGGGGTATTAATACCATCATGGATTGTTTAGCTTCCAAACAATGTAGGTGCTTAAAGGAGTAATGGTTATTTTATTCTGGGGAATAGAACTATTTGTTAGATTTAAAACTGCTAGAGAACATTGTTATGAGGCAGCGTAGGAATAGCATTAAGTATTTGGAAGTGTATATGGGGATCTGCTGCTTTGATCAGCATAGCAAACTTAGATGCAGACTTCAAAAAGAATTGCAGCGGATTGTTCTCAATCATGCTTGTCCATTACTGCTGCTGTAAGAAATATCCTCTCCCTCTGAAGTATCCCACTTATTCTCTCATCACCATCTCTCCTCTGGAAAATTGGGGTATTTCCAAAGTAGATCTGAAAAGATATAGAGATGTGGAGGGATGGGGGGAAGGAGAGAAGTGGAAGTGCTACTGGGTGAGTGGACATCCAGTCATCTGACATTGAGTGGACTTCTTACCTGTCCTTCTTGACCACTGCTAAAAGCGATGTAGATAAACTGCGAAGCATAATTAATATTTTGTCTTGAGCTATGAGGTACAAATTCTTAACAAGATTCATTTGTCAGAGTGAGATGATATAAACAACAACCTGTTAAAAAAGGGGTTCTACTGATGTGGCTAATGTACTGCAAGTAATACCAGAATTCTCCTAAGCTTCATCCTGTTACTGACTCTTGTTCTGGTGTACATGAAGTAATTGAAATAAATAACATTCTATTCTCCAGAATCATTAATCTTGAATTAAACATATATTTTACCTGCTAGCATATATTTCACCTGTTAGCTTAGCTCTTCCAAACTTGGCAGCCTCAATATGTACCAGGACTGGAATTCCTAGAATTCCCAAAGGCTATGCTAGATGGGAACTCTGTGGGTTGCAGTCTTTGAAAGGCACCAAGGTCAGGGAAAGCTATTTTAGCTGAATAATTCAATAGGCATGGTTTTCAAATATTGTCTTCAAGGCACAATATTTTCCCAGCCTTTATTTCTAAGTTCAGCATTAAGGGATGATAAATAGCTCACACTTTCTGTGAAATGAACAGTTACTATAGTACTCAAGAAATGACACAAATCAAAATAGTACAATGTACTACAGATTACATTTGATGTGTTAATCTTCTAACCTGAGGGAAGTAACCTTGCAAAACACCTTCCTTATACTATGTCAGTCTCTAGAAGATGCTATCCAGGAATATTTAAATTAGAACTAAAAATAGTATTATCTTTATTATCTCAGGGTATTTTTTTTTTAAATTTGTACAAAGCCCAGGTGCTACAGCAAGAATACCAAGGAATCACTCAATTTAGAAAAAAATGCTAGACGTATTTTCTTAAAATAATACATATGTAAGTAGTTGGGGATCTTATACTTTCTGTATTGTATCTATTCATTTTTATTCCATATATGCAGGTTGCTAGACGCTGTTGGTCTGGCAACAGCAATGCTTATGAAACCATCTGTCAAGCCATGGACAAAGACAAGACTCTGAAAGTGACACTTCCACATAAGGTGATAGATGACAGCATCTTGGAACAAGCTCTGAGTTGTTAATTATACACTCACCATTTATTCTGCCTTTTCTGAACCAGGCTCTGATTGCTACTTTCATCCTGTTCTACCCAAAAGCTTTCATTTATGATGCAATAAAATAATGGTTGAATTTATCTTTCAGGAAAGTAACACTAAAATAAATCAGCATTAATAACATTAGCTTCTGCACGTGTTGAACATTAATGCAAGTTTTTCAAACACAACCACCAAGTGATTCCCAATCTAGGAACTGATTAATCTGGATATGCACTCTAAAATTAGCACACACACCCATTTTTATTTGATAGATTAGAAATCCAGGCAGAAAAAGCAACAGCCAATACATGTTCATTCCATTTCTACTGTTAATCATAATGTTACTACTTGTGGCAATTTGTTTTTTAGGTTTGTGGTCAAAACTCAATATTATTGTATTTAGCTCACAATTCCTCTCCTGCCCTCAACTTCACAGCAAAATTTGACTGTCGCTGAGCTCCATTCAAAATCCATTTTAAAAAGCCTTGATTTCAATACAGTGTTCTTTGGCTGATTTATATGGAGACTAATACACTTGTGATTGCTCCCTAACAATTCAGCCTGTTGACTTCCTCTTATATCTGGATGAGGAAAAGCTATCACATGGTCCAATCTTTATTCAGTTTTCAGCTTTTTGCCCATATTACAATGTCGAAACTGTCCCAACCAAATTGTAAGTTCACCTCAGAGTTATAGTTGGCTCTTAGTTTTATATGACTTGGGACCAGGCTATCTGAAAAACCTTATTCTCCCTTATGAGCCTGGACAGGTTTTAAGATCATTGGGAGGGGCTCTTATCATCATCTGACCACCATCAGAGGCATATCTGGAAGAAACACAAGAAGGAGCCTTTTCAATGGCTGCTTAAAAGCTTTAGAATTATTTGCTAAGGAGGGTCAGGATTGATTTCTATTCTCTTAACCTTCTAAGGCAAGCTTGTTTAATATACAGTGGTACCTCGGGTTACGAACCGGATCCATGGCCATTTTCCCTCCCGTGACACGGTCCATGGCCATTTTTCCACCCCTGACACGTGGTCCGCGGCCATTTTCCACCCCTGACAC